CAGCCCAACGGCTCGGAGGACCTCTTCCCGACCCCCCGTCCCCGCCCCACTCCACGTCGACCTGGCGCGGACGGGGGCCTTGGCGGCAGGTCGGCCTCCATCGCCTGGTTGGCAAGGCTGGCCCGGACTGCTGGCAGCACCCCGTGTGGGCGCTCCAGCCTCAAGTGCTTCACCCACACTCTGCAGTTGGGGAACTCGCCCTTGGAAATCCTGCGGAACTTGTCCTGGGTGCCTCGCCTCACATGGCCAGGGCAGCACGTCAAAATGGCTGGCGTCTTTCTCCCTTCCGAACAGACCGCCCCACAGCGGCAGCATAAAAAGGAGGAACCGCACCTTCGGATTCATGCCTTGGACGGCGCACTGCAGCAAGAGGTGCGCCCGCCAACACGTCTCGTAAAAACTTGCGTCGATGCCGTCTGTGGGCTGCCGCCCCACGCTTGGCGAACTCCTCCGCCGCACTGTTGGCTCGGCGCTCCCACTCCGTGGTCTGACCATGCAGTGGAATAAAAGGCACGGAAAGACGTCATACCCCAAGACGGGGAGGATGGAGGAGGAATTGGAGGAAGAGCAGGAGCAGGATGAGGAGGATGAGGAGGAGGAGGAAGAGGAGGAGGAAGAGGAGGGAGAGGGGCAGGAGGAGGAGGAGGAGGAGGAGGAGGAGGAGGAGGAGGAGGGCGATCAGAAAGACCAGAGGCATCTTTGATGCCTCTGGGACCCCCTCTGGGCACCTCTTGGGGTCGTCTTGGGGCACCCTTGGGAGATCCGGGAGCCATCTTGGAGCCATCTTGGAGGAGAGCGATCCAAGAACGGGCCGTAGTACATTAGCGTTGCACTCCCCCTACGAGGCCAAGATGTGGCCAACGCCTCATGAAAATCATTGGCTTCCTCGCCGAGGCCATTTTGGACGCTCTAACTGCTCGCGACCCCCCCCTCCAGACCCAGGGGGAGGGTGCAGGGGAAGGAGTAACCCCCTTCCCCGAAGGGGAAGGGAAGATGGACAATTAGCCGCTCTAGAACACTCGCGCCCTCGAGGGCTGGTGGGATTCTCAATGACGACCTCTCTGCCAATGCTTTTTCGGAGTGGGCGATTCCCGAATATGGCTTGGCGTTGGTGCTGTCGCATATCTCTTCAGTTTTGCTGTTAATTGTTCCGTGGAGTAGCCCGAACTCCCACCATGAGGACATGCGAGTTAATCTGATGCTTCGCGGCCTTTCCCCTCAACTTTCCTTACGTTGCACCTTCGGGGGACCTCGTCTGTCTCACAAATTTGTATATTTTCTTGTACCCGACGAGGGCTCGATGCGGACTCGACGCGAATTTGGCGTGGATTCGATGCGGATTCGACGAGTCTGACGTGGATTCGACGCGGATCCGACGCGCATAGGGGCGCGACGGGACAGACAAGGCCCCCCGACGATGCAGCATACCTCTTCTCCTCCTCTTTTTCCTCCTTCTCCTCCTCCTCCTCCGCCTCCTCCTTCTCCTCCTCCTGTCCTCCTCCTCCTCCTCCTGCTCCTCCTCCTCCTCCTCCTCCTCTTCCTCCTCCTCCTCCTCCTTTTCCTCCTCCTACTCCTCCTCCTCCCCCTCCTCCTCCTCCTCCTCTCCTCCCCTCCTCCTCCTCCTCCTCCTCCTACTCTCCCCTCCTCTCCTCCTCCTCCTCCTCCTCCTCCTCCTCCCCCCCCCGCTCCCCCTCCTCTTCCTCCTCCTTGCTCCTCCTCTTGCTCCTCCTCTGCCTCCTCCTCTTTCTCCTCCAAGCCGACGCTGACAAGCCATCTCGTGGACGACCTCGGATGCGTCGGCCGAAGAGAACTGGCAGGGCGTGCTGCCCTGCCCGCCTTGCGAGGCGGGCCTCGCCCGCGACGCGCCGACGGCCGTCCCGTGAGCCTCCAGCGCTGGGCGGGCGCAGTGCGCGACGGCGCGACGGTCGCGGCACGGCGCCAAGCTCTGCACGAACGAAATGGGTACGGCAAGAATGGGTACGATGCCCAACAGCAGTTCCTGTTCATTTTGAACAGGACTCGCTGTCCGCGCCGCCGCGGCCTGTGTCCATTTGAGACAGAAGGCCGCCTGCCCAACAGCGGCCGCTGTTGGTTTGGGACAACATTTGTTGTTGGGCATTGTACCCATTTTTTCCGTACCCATTTCGGGCGTCCAAACAAGCGGAGTGGTGGGCACAATCGCCGACCTCGAGACGTTCGAGGACGTCGGGGTGCGAGGATCGAGGTCTGCAGGCGTGCTCGTCGGCTCCCGAAGGCTTTTTGCAGCCTCCCGGCAGCCGCGCCTCGCCGGGAGCGCTCCCGGGGGATGCCGGGAGCGTTCCGAGCGGCCGCTGGAGACCCGACCGGTGACCCGAAGCCCGACCCGAAGTGTGACCTCGGCCCCCCGCGTGGTGTGCTCGTTGTCCTCCTCCTCCTCCTCCTCCTCCTCCTCCTCCTCCTCCTCCTCCCCCCTCCTCCTCCTCCTCCCCCTCCTCCTCCTCCTCCTCCCTCCTCCCTCCTCCTCCTCCTCCCTCCTCCCCCCTCCTTCCCCCTCCCCCTTTTCCTCCTCCTCCTCCTCCCCTACACTCATCCTCCTCTCCGCATCCCTACCCCCCCTCCTCATCTCCTCCTCCTCCTCCTCTACTCCTCCTCCTCCCCTCCTCCTCCCCTTCCTCCCCCTCCTCCTCCTCCCCTTCCTATCCTCCTCCTCCTCACCCTCCTCCTCCTCCTCCCTTCCTCCTCCTCCTCCTCCTCCTCCTCCGTTGTCCTTCTCCTCCCGGCCTCTGCCCCCCTCTCGCCTGCCCGTGCTTGCCTGCGCCTGCCTGCTGGGGGAGCCAGGCAGTGTGACCTCGGCCTCCCGCGTGGTGTGCTCGTTGTCCTGAACGGCTTCCATCGCGGGGCGGTCGCAGCACGGCCCCGTGTCACCGAGCGGTTTTCGGGGCCCGTGTCGTTCTCCGTGGACGTCTCGGGCGAATGGGGCCTCCGAGGTCTCAAAACCGTTCGGTGGCAGGTACCTTGCGCGGTCTGTCACCACACGGTTTTGGGACCCCGAAGACGGTCGCAGCACGGCGAAACCAGCAAACATAAATAGGTATTGACGACCTTCGATGCGCATTTCCAGGCTTGAACCCAAGCGCGCGTGAGCCGCGAGCGCGGTTGTGCTCGATGTCGATCCACGGTCTGGCCTGCGATCGATTGTTCTCCATGTGCACCACACTCCTGGGTGTCATTGCCGCTGCCCAGAAACACCAGTGGGGTCGTTATGGTCCCTGCCGCCCTCGTCTAGGAGAAGAACACACACCCACGACCCGTCCTTGTGGATAGCGCCCGCGCGCGCGGGAGGACGACAAGGCGCACGGCCATGGCAGGCGACCCCGCGCGCGCGCTGCCGCGCGCGACTGTCGGCTCCCCGTGAGCAGGGTCTTGCTGCCTCTCACCCCGGCCAGGGTCGAGGATCATTTGCTTATCCGTAACGGCTTCGCCCCCTGCCCCCGGCCCCCTTTCTCGGAGAATGGGATATGCAAGAGCTGTGTTGTGAGACCTGGGCGCCGTCGTGAAGCAGCGTCGGAACTCTGGACAGGGGGCCACTCGGGTTCGGGTCCCCCGTCTCGGGTCACTCTCGGGGCCGTCTTGGGGCCCCGTTTGGGCCGTCTTGGGGGTCTCTTGAGTCGTCTTGGGGCCCTCTTGATCTATCTTGGGGTGCTCTTGAGAGCCTCTTGGGCCGTCTTGGGGCGGTCTTGGGGGGGCCTCTTGGGCCGTGTTGGAGCGTCGGAGGCCCGAAATGGCGAGCGTGTGAAACTCCATTAACAATCTATGGAACATCGCAGATTTTGACGTCTTGGGCCCCTCTTGGGAGTGCTCATGGAGCGCTCTTGGGGGCCTCTTGGGAGCTTCTTGGGAGCCTCTTGGGCTGTCTTGGGACCATCTTGGGCACCTCGGAGCACTCATGGGCCGTTGCGGAGGCCTCTTGTGCCGTCTTGGGGGCCTTCTATGAAGGATTGCGGACTCGAAAGCGCGAAGACTACGTATTTTGCGAGGGTTTATGTTTCGGGGACGCGAAGAAGGCGTAGTTCATAAGGGATCGTGGCTTCGGGGCCGCAAGCATGGTTTAATTTTACGAAAGAGTATTGCTTCGGAGACGCGAATATTGCAATTCGCAATGAATGAAGGTCTCGGGACTAAAGGGAGCTGGGTGTTGCATGTGAGTGGGAACGAGCGTGCATCCGCGGCTGCTTGGCTCAAAGCGGCCGGCCGCCCAGATCTGACTACACCTCAGCGCGAGGCGTACCATTTGGCATCGATACCAAAAACTGCTTGAGATGGTTCTACGGTACAACAGAGCGGGAGCTGGGCTTCGCCTAAGGCGGAGCTGCTGGTTGGGCTTCCCAACCCCTTTCAAACTTCGGGAGCGCGAGCACAGCGTAATCTGCAAGGGTTTAGGGACGCGAGTCTGGTGTCATTGACAAAGGATTCAGATTATGGCCTCGGGTGCACGAAGGTGGAGTAATGTGGTTTCGGGAGCGCGAATCTTGTGTAGTTTTTGCTTGTCCCAGGACCCCTCAGTAATTATGAGAGCCCACCAGGTGGTGGTAACCAGGGCCCTTTTCGGCTCCCCTCGTGCGGACTTTACCAATTCACGGTAAAAAGCACACATCAGGACTATAATAATGGAGATTGGAAGCTGGAATTGGTACAGGGAGCAGCAAGCCTAACCCGCGGAGCCTGGTGACCCTACATGGGAGTCGGCGGATTTTTGGTTGTTTTTTCCTTGTTGTTGTTTTCGTGCATCTTTCGATCCTCTCTGGGGACCTCCAGATGTCTTGGGGACCTCCAGAGTCCTCCAGGCTGAGACCCCTGGGGACTGCCGAGAGGGGAGGGAGGAATGGGCAGAGAGGCGTCCTGAGAAGAGAGGTTTCCTGCGGTCTTTCGCCTATTTCGGGCTCCCGGAACCCTTCCCTACCAGGGCCCTAGGGCCGTCAGAGAACGACTCAGAATGTAAAGCCGATTCTGAAGCGATGCCTGGGTCCACGACCTGTTGCCCTCAGGACCCCTTCCCGCATGGCAAATTTAAGCTGCCTGCAATTGGCAACGCGCCTGGAAGGGGGAGAGAAAAAGGAGGAATCGGAGGTGGAGTAGGACGGGGAGGAGGAGGAGGAGAAGGAGGAGGAGGATGATGAAGAGGAGGCGGAGGAGCAGGAGGACCAGCGAGGGAGGGAGAAGTTGGCAGGAGGTGGAGGAGGAGAAGGAGCAAGACCTGGGAGTGAGAGGGCGGATCAGTAAGCAGACGATGATGCTGATGCTGATGCTGCTGCTGCTGCTGATGTTAATGTTGATGATGCTGCTGCTGATGATGATGCTGATGATGCTGCTGATGATGATGCTGCTGATGAAGCTGATGCTGCTGATGATGCTGATGATGCTGATGATAAGGATGACGATGTTGTGCTTGCTGTTGTTGTTGATGATGCTGATGATGCTGATGATGATGTTGACGATCAAGCTACCGCGTTTGCTTCTGCTGTCGCTCCTGCTGCTGCTCCTGCTGCTGATGATGATGACCATCATGCTCATGCTGATGCTGCTGCTGTCACTGATGATGATGATGATGATGATGATGATGATGAAGATGAAGATGATGATGATGCTGATGAGGATGATGATGATAATGATGATGATGATGCTGATGATGATGCTGATGATGATGATGATGCTGATGATGATGACGAAGATGACGATGACGATGATGATGATGATGATGATGATGATGATGAAGATTAGGATGAAGATGAAGATGAAGATGATGAAGATGATGATGAGGATGATGATGATGATGATGATGATGATGATGATGATGATGATGATGATGATGATGATGATGATGATGATGATGATGATGATGATGATGAGATGGAGAAGGAGGGGGATGATGAGGAGGAGGATGCGAAGGATGAGGAGGAGGACGAGAAAGATGAGGATGGATGATAGTGATTGCGGTGTTGTTAATGATTCTAATTGGGAGCAGGAGGATGGGGGAGCAGGAGGAGGGGGAGGAGGAGGGAGGAGGAGGAGGAGGAGGAGAGGAGGAGGAGGAGGAGGAGGAGGAGGAGATGGATGGAGGAGGACGAGGACCAGAGGAAACCCAGAATGCATCAACGCTGCCGCAGTTTGCCCTCTCGTCCCGAGTGCTCCTGTCCACTGCGGGAAGCGCCCCTGCTGGATGACGATCGCCCAGTGGGCCTGCCACTCGGGCGAGACCCCCCGTGTGTAAAGGATCCACCCTCCGCCTTTCTGGCAAGCACACTTAGGAGGAGGAGGAGGAGCAGGAGGAGGAGGAGGAGGAGGAGGAGGAGGAGGAGGAGGAGGAGGAGGAGGAGGAGGAGGAGGGGGGCCGGCATGAACCCACGGTGCATCGGCGACGCTTTGGGTACAACAAGGAGGAACAGTGTAAGGAAGTGTCCAGCGATAGTCAACGTTTACATCAGGTACCAGCCCTCCGTCAACGGGTTCAACGCTTGAGCGCATCGAAACTTCGGGTCGCAGGATTTCAGGAGGTCTGAGGCGTGACGGCGTCCATTCATGTGACTGTTGAGCTTTGGAGTCAAATGCGCGCGGCGATAAGGTGAGAGCTGCTTTTTGAAATTGACTGGACCTCGATCCGTACGCGTTTTTAGCTTCATGGTCGTAAAGTGTAGAGACGTCTCAAGCGGAACGTCCGCGCCGGCCTACGTCCACGTCTGGTGCTGCGACAGGGCGGGAAATTATTGATAAGGAAGCGGGATCGAGGAGACCAAGGAGGAATATGTGGAATCAGGAGGAGGTGGTGGGAGGAGGAGGAGGAGGAGGAGGAGGAGGAGGAGGAGGAGCAGGAGGAGGAGGAGGAGGAGGAGGAGAGAAGGTGGAGGAGAAGAAGGAGGAGGAGGAGGAGTAGGTGGAGGAGGAGGAGGAGGAGGCGGTTCGATTCGTTCCTCCCTGAATTCGCGACTCGGATTGGATCGGATCTGGTCGGATCGGATGGAAGAGGATGAGGAATATTACGGAGCATGGAAGATGGAATTTGGAACATGGAATACGTAATATGGAAAATGGAACATGTAATGAAGATGGTGATTTATGATTGATGATGATGATGGGGATGCTGAAGATGATGAAGATGATGATGATGCTGATGATGATGATGATGATGGTGATGGCGATGGTGATAGTGATGGTGACGATGATGGTGATGATGAGATGGCGGAGGAGGGACAGGAGGAGGATGCTGATGATGAGGAATGTGATGACGATGAGGAGGACGAGGAGACGACGAAGAAGACGACGACCACGCCGATGATGATGCTGCTGCTGTTGATGATGATGCTGACGAGGATGATGAGGATCACGACGACGACTAAGCCGACGATGACGATGATGATACTGATGTTGATGATGACGATGATGATGGCGATACTGATAATGATGATGATGATGATGATGATGATGATGATGATGATGATGATGATGATGATGATGATGATGATGATG